TATATATTAGTTAATTGAAAAAGTGGTTGCTTATATAAAAAATTAATCCGAATTTTGTTTTAGTGCAGCTCTCACCTCATATAATCATTCGATGTTTCAGCATCTTCGAAGGCACCCTGCGCTTTGCAGGCGCATACCAACGCCAGTGACAGCAGCCAAAACGGTAAAGCTACAATTTATTTATTTTTTTTTTATAAGTATAAAACAAGTTTAGGCACAAACCCTTTTTATTTATTATACATATTCATTTATTTATTTACCAAACATTTTGGGTTTCCTCATTTCTGCTCTATCACTGCGCTACTCCACTCTAATTGGCCACACGCTGATTAATCGCTGCAATAAAGAGTTTCAAATTAGATAATGTATAAAAACATGTGTAAGCTTATTTGCTACAAAATCCGTTTCATTGATTAGTTACACTCAGTATTATAAATACAAAATTAAAAAAAAACAAAAACGACGAATGATAAAAAGGTTACAAATGCGCATCCGCAACGACAACCCAGCATAATTTTTTATTATCTAATCATACAACAAATGCAATGACCCAAAAAAGAAATACTTACATTTAGAAAAGTAAACAAAACAAAACAAAATAGCAAGTTCAAGATAACTTTTTCCAAATAAATATGTAAATTTGGAATGATTCAATCCGAAATAAAATATGCGCAGAGTCAAATGCGTACAGTGAATCATCTACATACATATGTACATATGTATATTGCTGTATGTGGGTATGTGTATGATGTAAGATACATATGTATGTATGGATCTATGTAAACTACCTTTGTGTGGGACTAGTTATTTTCACACCAACGCCTATGACTTTGCATCATCATCACCGTGGCACGTAAGACCTATAATCTTATCAATATTTCTTTTGTATAGTCCGTTCCCGCCACACCTCTAAATCTTTTCAGCTCAGCTAATATAATTTTTTTTTGAGTTTTAAATATGCTGGAAAAGAAATTAAATTAGCTTGACAACTCTTTTACAATTGCTTAATATAATCAAAAAATGTGGCAAAGAAGGGTGAGTTTACAGTTTTTTAAAAACAACTTTGGTTTATTAGCATACAAATTTGAAGTTAAGTGATTATAATTATGCGTGAATTATCCATTTTTTTAGCTACAAATACCTATGATCAAGTCTTGCAATAGTAATAAACATAGTTTTTTGTACTATAGGGAAGGGGGGCCTGTAGATTCAGGGAGCTAGTGAAAATAGTGAAGCGGTAATACGACAGAAGTTATTAAAGAAATTAATATAAAAAACGGGTACTAACAGAAGTGTAACTTAAAATATAGAAAAAACAAAATAGAGAGTTGCCACCTGCTTGAAATTTTCACTTTAAATAAATTGACAATGGATATCAAAAGAAAGCAGTTTAAGAAGGCTTACATTCGAAAATATTTTTGTGGAAGGTTGCCAACTGTTAAGCAATTTTTAATTCAATTTCATTGACAAGATAAATTAAATATTGCAATATGGGTATCAAACTAAAGAGGTATAGAAAAATGGATTGCTTAAAATATTAATAAAAGGCTTACAGCTGAAAATATTTATGAGGAGGGCTGCCACCTGTTTGAAAAATGTTATTCAATTTAATTGCTGAGAATAATTAAATTTTTTTTTGAAGCAGGTTGCCACCTATTTGAAAAATTTAATTCAGTTTAATTGATAACATTAACTAAATATTATAAGATGGGTATCAAATGAAAGTATTTGGGAAATCTTTGATTTAGAAATATCTTCAACTAGCAAAAAATCTAGAAATATTATATAATACTGTAGTATTACACAAAATCACAAATAACAAGTAACAAAAAAATGGATTATCACTTTTTATGATATTTGCTAGTAAAGTAAAACAAATATTTTCAAAATAAACTTTTTAAATATGAGCAAAATCGGACTATAAATACAGGTTTTCCAAATATCTCGACACCTGCAAATTTTTTTGTTTATTTAATTATTAGGCAATATACACGAACTATAAATACGGGTTTTCCATATATGCATCTCGACTCCTGCGCCACCTAGCGCATTAATTCATCTTTCGTTGTCTTTGGAGTTGTGAGCTAGGCTTGACATTTCAAGGCATTGAACAAACCTACATACTTACAATAGTATTCCGAAACCGTTTTTCGAGTTTCGATTTTGAAATTAAGAAAAAAACGGATAAATCAAATTTTATTTTACTTAGTTTTCACTGAAAATACTTATTTTGACGTCATCACCAAAAATGATTAACAGAGAGATCGCTTTCATTTACAAAAGAGCAAAGTAAAAAAAGTACACAGATGTTTTTTCGAGACAGACAGACAGACAACAATTCTAAAAATTGTTGATTTGGTTTATGTAGCTCTATTAAAGACCCAACATATTAATTTTTCTTTAATATCTACAATGTAAAGACGTCGGCCTGTTACATTTTTATTATAAGTATATATTTCATTTATTTTGTCAATTTAATTCCCTAAAATTTTTCAAACAGATGGCAGCCCTTTTGAAAAATATCTTTGGCAGTAAACTCCTAAACCTTTTCAGGTTGATACCCATATTGCAATAATCAATTTTTCGTATCAATTAAATTAAATTAAAATTTAAAAACAGTTGGCAACCCTCAAGAAATATTTTCAGCTGTAAGCCTTCTTAAACCTCTTTCTTTTGACAGCCATATTGCAATATTTACTTTTTCCTATCAATTTACTTAAACTGCAATTTTTAAACAGGTGGCAACACTCTATTTTTTCCATATTGTAAGTTAGACCTCTAGCAATACACCGGTGAAAACTGCATTCAATTCCATGCAACAGTTTTCGAGTGATGCGCGTACAAATATACAGACAGACAGGCAAAAATTCTAAAAATTGTTGATTAGGCTTCCGTTTGCCCTAATCGGTCTGTTACAATTTTATTATATGTATAGATTTCTCAGAATATACCTTTATCCCACAACTTAATACATTTTATTTTATTTTCTGTTTACTTTTTTTCTGAATATTTTGAAGCTTATTCGCTATCAGTTATTAAAAAAAAATCCTTATTTGCGTAAAAATTTGTTTGCGAAATTCGAAAAACAACTGACAACACACAACGCCCACTTCAACGCCTTTGTATAAGCGGAAACAAAAGAAGATACACATTACCATACAAAGTGCAAGTAGCAGAAATGTTGAGGAATTCATATATTTCAACAATTAAAATTAATGGACATAAATTAACAAGCATTCCACAAAACCATAAATCAAAATTCTCAATTTTTAGTGAACAAACAATTGAATCAACTGAGTAGCCACTTCAGAATATAAAACAATTAAACAATTGTCAGTCGTGCACAGCAATATAAAAAAAAAATATCATTTAAGTACTTGCAACTAATTACTTGTTCTACTGAGAATAAAAGCCGTGTCATCATTCTTCCACGCGCCTTTGCAATTTTTTGGAACGAGGCCTAAAGCACTAGCAGTACATATTTCTTATAACAATTTTCATAATAAAATTAACATTTCATTAATTGGTGCACCTTGACTTTATCGTAGATAGATACTTCCTTCACACAATTTATTCAATTGATTTTTCTTCACACCTCGCTAAGGTCAATACTCTCATTATGTGAGCAATTATTTTCATCATAAAATTAAAAAAAAAAAAAAAAATTGTCGTTATCAATTCTGCTTTGCATATGAAAATTTGGCCGGCGGCGTTTTTAATTACTTGAAATTATATTATTAGCTAATGAATAAATGAATCATTTTATGTTTCCAGGTTATGTACATATGTAGTATAAAGCAATTGGCTCTGCTCATTAAATGAAAGACTTAAGGCACAAACTTGACTATCAAAAATTGGTATGCATACGTGGTTTATATGAGCATTCATAGATATATACAAAATTTTTAATTGTTAGAAAGTTTAGCTTTTTGATTGCATATTTTTGAAATATTTAACGTTCTGCCTTATTTGGAGTGAAATAGTTGAGGAAAATTTTGTATTTTTGTTCTCGCTATAATGAATTGATACTAAGATTAACTACGTGCTTTTAATAGCTTCATTTGAGAGCTATTTTAAAAATCAATTTTTAGTTTAATATGTCCATCATAAATAAGTATGTTTTCTTTTATTAGCACGCCAACTAAACTTTTTTATGACTAACTCATACCAAACTTAGTGTGCCACTAATTTTGGTATATCAATAGTTTTTGAAGCTAATATACTTGATGGCAAGCGCATACTAAACCTCTAACGTGATGTAGAGTAGAGCGTGGGCGTAGGCATCTTTAGAAGTAATGATTTCACGATATACATAACTAGGTAAATATACATATGCACCTGGTTGTAAATTTATAATGCAGTACTCAAACACCTAGCTAAATTTCGATGGAATTTTGAACTATGAGTTCTTGTTTGGTCTACAACCCATTTGTAATGGCTATACCCATAGAGAAATATGAGCTATGCATACATACATACATATGTATGTATATGTCGAAATAAAAATTTAAATATTTTATCTATGAAAAGTTCCTGGATGAATAGACAAGACTTACGAAGAAATTAAGGATATTCCTTTTAAATTTATAATTTTTATTCGTTTCTTTTTTTTTTTTAATCCGAAGCCTGGCATAGCGCATACATGACGCCTGTGCGTTCTGTTTCTAGCCTTCGCTTTGAGCTCCTTCCAGCTTAACCTGAGTAGCTTCGCCTATGGATTGACTGTTCTTCTCTATGTTCCACGGTGTCTGCCGCAAGGCCTGCTTCTGTCGATCAGGGGATTCTCCACTCCAAAGCCTTCTTTTCAATACTACCGTGTCCTTTACGTAAAGGCTTAGCTTTTTGAAAAACTTTTCATTTGAGTTTGTTCAAGGTCAAAAGGCAGTATCGAGAGCGCTTTGGATTTGAAAAGCGTAATAATTAAGTTGAAACTCAGATTGTGGTTTCGCCATAACGTGTCAGTGCCGCTACTGGAGGCCACTTTGATGCCAAGGTATGTTAAATTCTTGCTGGTTTCAAGAGTTTGGTCGAAGACTAACATGCCACCGCACCGCAATACTTCGGTAGCATACTTAGAACCGTGGTCTCAGGCCTACCGCCTAAGCGTCTCTGTGCAGCGCGTTGCTCATTTTAGACAGATCAGAAAGACAATGCCCGAAAAGTATGTCGTCAGCGGAGAGAATGTGCTGCAGTAAACTGGACATGGACCGCAGGGCTGGGAATGGCCAACACATGCACAATCATCAACAGAAAGAACCCCGAGCCGCGATGTGAATTTCAAAGACCTCAGGCAGCTTCTCTCTGTGAAGTACATGACTGCTGGCTTCGTCTTATTT